AATTTTGAATTGGATAAGGCCTGCTCCTAGGGGTAGAACACACATCTGGTGCTCTAGAACAGGCCAGCGCCTTGTGTCAATACAGGCTACAGGCCCTAGTGAAGAAACCATCATAAGTATACTGTTTAATGAGTATAGTACACCTACTGGGATATCTTCTAGGCATTTGTATTTACATTCATGTTTGTTTAAATGAGTCTACTTCCTTCCATTTGAATTTATACTAGAAGAAACACCACTGAGATGGCCTAAAGATGACTAATGGGAAGGCCCAAGAACCCACTATCTTGCCATGATACATGAGAGATTGCCCTATATCTATCACCCCCTCTAAGGCTCAGGGACCTTAGTGGAAGATTGGTGGGAAGATTGGAAGAGTGGAGGAAAGGGGTGGAGTGTCTCCCAATTGGCCAGTTCCTCTAAGGGGCGGGGACTGCCACAGAAGGTGGACTACTGAGGGGCTTCTGGGAGCCATCTTGGAATGGAAACGGTGAGCCAGGAGGAATGCATGTGGCAGTGGGTGTGGAGAGAGAGATGGCCCTGCTTCATAAGATTTTAGAATTGGAAGTGGAGAGGGTGGCATACAATCAGTTAAATGCAGAGAAGTCTAATTTATATGTAAGAGTGTTCAGGCAAATGTGATTATGCATACTCCAAATTTCCTTTGAGGTGTTCACCTGAATTCCAGATATAAAAAATTAAAATTACATAGAATATTTCAGATATACAGGCTGCAATGTGATATTTTGATGAAACTATACAATAGGAAATGATAAAATCATATTAATGGACATTTGTATCTACAGGAACACATCTTATTTTTAAATTTTTAATTATTTGAGATTCCATGTGGTGTATTTCAATCACCTTCACGCCTAACATTTATACCTAACTACTCCCAGCTCCGCCTGTACATTCCCACAACTTCGTCATGTCCTTTTAAAAAGAAATAACCTACAGACTCCTATCTTTGATGTCCATATACTGCTGGGTTTAGGATCAGTGACTGGAGCATGGTTGACCTACCAGAAGCCACAGTCTTGAAAATCTGACTCTCTTTTCTCCAGAACCCATCAACTGTCCATAACTCCTCAGTTAGGGATATGAGTTCATGAGCCTCTCCCCACTCCATGCTGGAATGCTGACTAGTTTGATCTTGTGCAAGCAAACAAGGAAGCCTTTGAGAGTGGGTGTGATATTATGGCTGTTCCATTTGTTGGCTATACCCTCCATTAACACTTATTCTCTGTAACTTGTCCAGTTGTGAGTTTCGGCATTAATCACTGTAACTTCTCTGATGAGATCCAAGAGCTTGACTAATCTCTGGGGATAAAGATGCACACCTTTAATCCTAGCATTTAGAAATCAGAGACAGACAGATTTCTGTGAGATCAAGACAAGCGTGATATATTTAGGAAGTTCAATGCCAGTTGGGGCTACAGGAAGACTTTGTCTCAAAAATACCAAAAAAGGAAGAAAGATACAAAGTTAGAGAGAAATTTGTCCTTTTAGTAGAATTATAGCACTAGATTTACCATTGTGATCTCCTCAGTCATGGTTTCTTGGCCACATTTAAGGCAGCAGGCATGTGTTCCCTTAAGTGGTATGGGAATTCAGTCTAATTAGAAAGTAATTGTTTATCCTTATAACACTGGGGCCGGTATTTCATCCATAACCATATCTTGCCACTATGATCAGTATTACAATTCATAGGGGTCACAGCTGAATAAGACTGTTGATCATTTTTCCCCCAGAGAGAAAGATTCCTTATATCCATGTAGTGGGAGGTTTTTCACATCTTTCTGTTTCAGGTGATTCCTGGAAGCCAAACTGGAAGAGTTCAAAGTTCTTATATGTTTGTAATTATGATCCTGATCCAGTATTCTGTAGCATGATTGTTAAGTGGTCATTATTGAGTTTTACAGTTAGCAATATATCTACATACCATGTTTTAATCCACTCCTGGAGTTGTGTTTAATGGTATTTCAAAGAGAGAAAATACATCATCCAACACCTACACCAGTAAAAATCTGATTAAAAATCAACAATGAATCATCACACATCTTTCACAGAGAACAATAAAGATACTGAGGGCAAATACAGATAATTGAAAGGCATTTTCTCCCATTGTTGATGTGTGTGCAGATGAATAATTTTATGCTTTCTGGACATGGATCACTATTCACTATATGGGAGCAATAGCAGTGATAAGCTGAAAGGATTGGTGTGGGATCCAAACAGGGCTGAAGTGGTGTATCCAAGTCACTCAGGAGAATGCCATCTACAAACAGAATTGGATCAGTGTTCTTATGAGCATAAAGATGGAAGGCTATCTGAGAGACAGAAGTTTCTTTTTAGTAACAGAATTAAAGCTACTCATCTAAGGAGTAGGTGGGTAAGAGAAAAAACATAAATTTTTAAGTGTTATAGAAAAATACATCTTCAAATTTTTGGGGTTTGTTGATTTTTTTGAATTTTTAAAAAATATATTTTGATCATATTTCAATACCTGTCTTGCTCTCCTATATGCACCCCTTACTATTATAGCCTGATTTCATGTATCTAACATAGATGGTAGATGATAGATGATAGACAGATAGATGATGATAGATAGATGATAGATAGATAGATAGATAGATAGATAGATGACAGATGATAGATTAAAAAAGATTTATTATTTCTATACACGGCTCACTTACTTACTCTTTGTCCTTGGCTGGCCTTTTCTGGAGTCTTCTGTGAAATAAGGAATTAAGAGCAAATCAGTCCTGTTTGGTTCCACTAAAAGCATGTTCTGACACATTGCTCATTCCTAGTGGCCCTCGAAGGAAGGAAGCCAGTGTGTGATACACTCTAAGGAATACTTCCCAGGACCATCAACATGGGGACATGTAGGAGGACAGCTCACTCGACTTTGGCAGTTTCTGAGAGGTGCTGCAGCTCCAATGGCATGTTTAGGATGTCAGGAAAGTGCTTCACCAGGATCATGATCAGGTAAAGGAGCAGAGATATTCCTGTGGGTGACAGTTGGGTCAGGGTGAGGAGTTGAGGACACTAGGAAGGAGCATGGGACAGGGAGCTAAGGGTGGACTGCAGAGGTGTCTCAGCAGTTACCAACACTGGCTGCTCTTCCAGAGGACCAGAGGTTGGCTGTCAGCACCCGCTTGGTGGCTAACAGCAGTATACAACTCCAGTTCAGGGGACCTGGTGCCCTCTTCTGGCCTGTACAGATGCTGCACTCTAATGTGCATGCACATACTGACACACATGAATAACACACTGACATATATACACATAAGTAAATAAAATAAATCTTTAAATTTTTCTTTTAAAAATGGGAGTTGAAGAGATGGCTCAGTGGTTAAGGGTGCATATGGCTCTTGCAGAGGACCTGAGTATATGGCCCAGCACCCACATCTGATGGCTCACAACTACCTGTAACTCCAGCTCCAGGGGATCTAATGCCCTCTTCTGGACTCTGCAGACACTTGTATACACATGTATGAATGCTCCCCCCATCTACACATAAAATAACAAAATAAATCTTCTAATAAAAAAATAAAAACAGGGCACATAGGAGAGAGAGATGGAAGAGGGTTACAGAGGGGACGGGAGAGGCCAGGGTGAGTGCAGCCGGGACAGAGAAAGCCACCTGTCAATGCTGGACTTGGTATCTGCGATCTTATTGAGGCTGGCGACCCAGAAGCCGTAGGTGCCCCCACGCTGTCCCTTGTTCATGAAGTTATCGATGGCTAGGACCACCTCCAGCATCTGCTTCAGACGTTTGCTGAGGGTCAGCTCTCAGGAGGCCAGCAGGAGGGCTAGGAGAAGAGGGAGAGGTCAGAAAGCTACACAGACTGGGCCAGACCAGCGGGTCCCTTGGTGCTGCAGGAAGACGTCCCCACAACATTCAGGAAGGGGCTCCCTTTCTGCCCTAGGGCAGAGTCTCCCCACTCTGATCAGTAACCTCCACCCCTCACTCAACCTCCAGGCAAAGCTGGCCCTTCTCAGAGCCAACCACCTTTTCCTAAGAATGATCTGAGAATATCTTGTCTTGTATGTAAAGGTTATTATACTTTTTATGAATATACATTTGAATATGACAGTTTTCCTTTTCTAGACCTAACATTTTTAAAAAATTTTCTTACATATTATGAGATGCTTCTGCCTATTCTGAAATTTGTACTGTGCACGTGTATGTTCATGTATGCACACATGGGTGCATTCATGTGTATGCATGTACATGCATGTGGATGTCAGAGGACATCTGTCAGTGTCATCCCTCAGAGAGGGCTGTCTGTCTTGTTTTATGAGACACGGTATTTGACTTGAAATTTGTTAAGTGGGCTTGGCTGACTGGCCAGGGATCTGCCATCTCCAATTCTTCATTGCTGAGATTAAAAATAAGCACATATCACCACCCCTGGAATTTTTATATGTGTTCGAGGTATCAAACCCATTGTCCTGCTCTGGCCTTTGCATGCACATGCATGGTCATATCCACTCACACACATATGGATATCTCTCTCTCTCACAAACACACACACACAGAGACGCACATACACACACACACCACATAAAAAGGAAAGCCTCCGATCTTTGGGAAATTTTCTTCGACAATTCTGTTGAAGATCTGGTCCATGCCATTATCGTGGCATTCTTCTCCTTCCTGTGTGCCTATGGATTGTAAGTTTGGTCTTTTTATGGTGTCACACAATTCCTGCATAATCCATTCTTGTGATTCTTTAAATTTTTCATAATCTTTCCTTGAGTGGTCTAGTTTGTCCACTTTATCTTCCAGTCTTGGTATGCTGTTTTCCTTTTCAATCATCCTATTGGTGAGGCTTTCGCCTGTCATTTCGAATTGGCTTACTGAGTGTTTCACTTCCTCCTTCATTTCAGCCTGAGTAGTCTTCAATATTTCTAGCTCTTTTCTGAATTCATTCAGAATTTTATCCCTGTCTTCCTTCAGC